GGTTTTGCCACCTAGAGTGTACAACTTGTTGGGTGTTTACCTGATCTTGTTATTCTTTGAATTAGATAAGTTTGATTCTCTTTTGATAAGTACCCAATGTATAACGATAATATTTTTATAACCTAAGAACGTGAAAAAATTTGTATTGTGAAAAGAGAATAGTGATAAGATATGTGATGATTTATGAATTATGAAGTGTGATGGTTGGTTCTTGTTCATTTATTGTTGTAACTAGTGTTGGTTTAAATATTTTATCATGATTATATGAGAAAAGATTTGTCATGATGGTTGTGTTATGGTCCATTGTGTTTCAGTTTAGATTGAGTTCATGGGTAAGCCTGTGGTTTCATAATCCATATTGATTTATAAATCTTCCAATTTGATTTGGAATTTCAGTTCTTAGTAGTTGATCTTGATGAAATGGTTTTAGAGACAAGCTCGCTAGTAAAGTTGAACATCGACTAATAGGTTATGACTTAGTTATTTTTTTATTCTTCTTCATTATGTTCGAGGACGAACATGATTTTTAGTGGTGGATAATGTAATGACCCGTAAGTTCATATTAAGAATTAGCCCTTGCTTTCACAAAATACCCCTTTAAATAAATTTAAACAGAAATTTTTATTACTATATTTTAGTTAAAATTTTATAATTAATGAGATAATTTTTAAGTAATTAATTTAGTTTGGGCTTAATGGGTCAAACCCATGATTGAGTTAATATGTAAAACACTAAATTAAATTAAAGAGTGGTTATTATTATTTTACCCTAACACTAATTAGTTGCGGCTGAAACTATTATGGGAGACACCTCAACTTTGATGCCGACAGAATTCCAGGTAAAAAGGCTTAATTAAAATTCGATATTGCATTAAATTTATATATACTAATTAATTGAGGGAGGAGAGAATTCATATCATTATTTTATTGTTAAATAGAGATTTGAAATTGAGAAAAAAAATGGGTTTCTGTGCAACATGGGATTATTCAATTGGGTATGTTGAATTGCTAAGTAACTAATTCTTGTAATAATAATAAAATAATGTAGAGATAGGAGTTTATTATTATTTGTTTGATTTGAGGGTAATGAGGTTATCCTGGGTGCACAATTGTGAACGAATACATGTTTGTCGTTTTTCCTTTTTATGCTAGTGTTGATGGTATTAAAATGTTGGAGGCAATTCCATGGTAGATGATCGAGTAATTATTCTTAGGATTATACGATAACTATTTGGAAGAGCAATGATGGGTGATATTGAATTCATTACAAAGAATTTCACTAGTGTATAATATTCTATAATTGCGGGTATTACAAATTATAACTGGTATACATTTATTTTTCGTGATTGAACTTCTAGTACAATACCACATCACGATTCAAGTTTTATATATGTTGAGATAAGTAATTAAATATAAAGGTCATTGTATTATACAAGTATCATTAGATTTATGGAATTGGAGAATGAAAACTTAACCCTAGACTTGAAATTTGGAAATAGGAGGGTGACATTATAATTGACATCAAAATTTTGGAACTTGATTTTAGGTTTGTGTAAGTTTTTGGGCCGAGGCTAGATATTTAGTAATATGGTTGTTGATAGTTTTAAAATTTTATTGTTATTAATTATTTGAATAGATGGCATTGATTGGAAGCCTAAAGAAAGGGAAAGACTCAGGTTCCGGAGTGATTGTTCGACTCTTTGAGGCAGGTGGATTTCTAAACTCTTGTTAAGTGTATGAAATGCGTGTATGTCCTTGTGGTATATGTTGGGAGTAAGGGGATTGGTGATGGGTTGACTTGTCCACATTGATTAATTCTAATGATGAAAAGAATGGGGATAACAAAAGGTAATGTGATTAATTGTTTATGTGTGTTGTGTTGAGAAAGGATTGAAGGCTTGTTGAATCATGTTGATGTAACTTTATGTTTGTGTGGTTGTGAACTGTGCGATGTTATGAAAATGGTCATCTCCTCATTATATGTGTGAACTTGTCATCTGCATTATTCTGAGGCATTGGTTGTAGCAAGTGTTATGTGATTGAGAAATAATGGGTACTTAAGAGGATGTACCATTTCAAGGGACGTATCGCACGCCGCGATGGATACTATATTTCGAGGGACGTATCGCGCGCTGCGATGGTTACTATTATCGAGGGTCGTGTCGTGCGCCGCGACAGATGTATGGACAGATATGTCCCCCATGGATCCCGGACTGAGAGACAGCGGGTGTGTATCACTAGGTCAGACATGCATCATTATACTTGACATTGCATTTCATTGCATTGCACATACTTACCATTAGTGAACTTGATATCGTATTTCGCTGATCTTTTGATTGCCTTTCTGCGGAAGTTGTGATTGATCAATATTGAGCTTGGTATTGCGGATATGTAATTTGTTGAAGTATTTTTGTTGAGGATATGTAATTTGTTGAAGTGTTGTGTGTTGTTGGTGAGCTACGTGCTATGTAAATTGTGAGTTGTTAGGTTGGGTTGATTTTAATGTAGGTTGTATTTGTGGAGGTTCGGTTGGGGGTGGTAGGAGTACCCTTATTTCATCCCCTTAGCTTGTGTTTAGAGGTTTACTTGCTGAGTACCGTGTGGTTTGGTACTCACCCCTTGCTTCTACAAATTTTTTTAGATTATGAGCCTGGATTTTGTTGTACTTGTCAGTCTCTTCTTTTCCGAGGCTTCATGGAGATTTGTGAGGTAGTTGTTTCCATCTCAGCAGACTTTCTTCTCCATAGTTATGATCTTGTTCTATTCTAAAAATAAGTTCATTTGTGACTTGAGTTTTTCTTTTGAATCAATTGTAATACTTTAGAGGCTTGTACACGTGACTACCAGGTTTTGGGGATTTTATTAAGTTACTTATATTTTATTTCCGCACTTTATTGTAATGATTGAGTTTTAGGCTGACTTGTCTTGATGGGATAAGACGAGTGCCATCACGCCCATTTTTGGGTCGTGACAGCTAATGGCTTCTTGAAGTAGTCAAATTTTGGAAAAAATGATTGCTTATATTCTTGTTTAGCCATCGAGGGCACCTCTGAAACATATGACGTCTTCTTGTAGTTACCTTCTGAAACTGATGGCTTCTTAAAGTAATCAAATTTGGGGAAAAATGACTCCTTATATTCTGGTTTAGCCATGGAGGGTACCTCTGGAACATATGACGTCTTCTTGTAGTTGTCTTCAGAAAATGATGGCTTCTTGAAGTAGTCAAATTTTGGGAAAAATGACTCCTTATATTCTGGTTTAGTCTTCGAGGGTACCTCTGGAACATATGACTCCTTCTTGTAGTTATCTTCCGAAAATAATGGCTTCTTGTAGTAGTCATTCTTTGGCAAGAATGATTCATGTTCGGGAACAGATGATACTTTCTTATAGTTAACCTCTGAAATTGATGGCTTCCTGTAGTAATCATTTTTTGGCAAAAATGAGGACTTATATTCCTTTTCCGACTCTGAGGGTACCTTAAAGTCTTCACTTTTGACTACTGTGGTTGGTACTTTACTGTATGTTGAATCTGATGATTCATAAGAATTGTAAGGTGAATATGCCATAGTGCATGTGGCAATCAAGAAAAATGTCAAAACACAAGCAAATTGAAGCCATTGCTTCTTCATTTGGCTTTCCATTGAGAAGAATTGGATTTTCAAGGCTAGATATATCTTTGTTTTTCTTTTTCTTGTGTGTTTTAGAATGGAGGAATTAGGAGTTTATATAACATAATTAAGATGGTGATTTGATGATTTAAAAATTAAATAATCCAAACATATCAAAGATTTTGCCATTTTTTGGTTAATGTTGTTCCACTATGGTTGGTTTTGAGATAATGGGAAGTCATAAACAATTCATACACATTTGCTTGACTCACCTATTTCTAAACTTTTAATCGAATATTTGTTGACTTGCAAGAATGTTGTTTGTTCATTTCTTTTGGTTTTGAAAATATGATATTAGGCTTAACAAATACTGTCTATTATTTGGTGTCGATTAATTATTTGTACTTGGTGAGCACAACTTATAATCCACATCATGGTATTGTACTTAATCTTTTTTTTTTTAAAAAAAAAAAAAAAGGTAAGCTATTCTTTGGGTGCCCGCCGAATAAATTGCTCATGTGTATTTACTTGCAAATCATATGTAACTCCGTTGTGACTAATCAATTGAAAAAACGTTGATAGAAGAAATCGATCTCTGAACTCTCTTACCCTTGAGAGTACCAAACATACTTTTCATCACCAAGAATAACAATATTTTGGGTTTGATTAGTTAATGATACCAACGGGAATAATTAGAAGCTATTGTTTTTAATGTCATATTTTCATATTTTTGGTTATTAATTATAATAATTCAAATTTGTGTCCTGTATGATCAAAGTCTCGAGAAAAAAGTGTTGTATGAGATATTACTTCATTCCCGAATATCGAACCCTGTCAAAAAAAAATAATTGAGTAGATCAAATTATTTTTAAAATTTTCTGAAAATATTTTAGAAGTTTCGATATTAAAAAAATTCATACTTAGAGCTTAAAACTTCTGCAATATAGATCAAATACACCTACACAATCACTAAATGATTAATTTGAAGGGCTTATGAAAAAACCGTGATATTTTATCCTTGTGTAACATTTATTTTCGAGTTTCTTTTTATTTGATTAAAATGATTCACTACTTGATTCGCTTTATTTCTTTTATCTCTCAGGAATCAGATGTTTATAACAATAGCAATCATTTTATTTTTCTTCTTTTAAATTCAAACAGATTTGACAAATTGTATCGATTATTTTCCGTAATATATCAATAGTGTAATTCTTAGTTACCTATTTTTGAAGTATGTTAGAGTTTTTTTAGGACAAATAGTGCACCAATATTGCAAAATGAGAGACTACTAGTGCTCCATGTGAAAACTTAAGGATCACTTTGAGCCTTAACTGAAAGATGAAAGATCATTTTGAGCCTTTCCTCGATTTAAATCCTACTTTTATGAAAACTCTTAAACTAGGAAACTTTAAACTAAGAAAGCTGAAAAACTTAAACTAAGAAACTTTTTAAACTAACAAACGTTTTAAACTAGGAAACTTTTAAAATAGAAACTTTTGACTTTAAGCGTTCAGCTTTTTAGACTCTTTTATTGGGTTTCGGGTGGCCCAATCTTCTTTCCTTTGGCTTGAACACCTCTTTCGTGAAAAATATATTCTTAATTGTAAAAAATATTTAAATACACACCTTTGTTTTCCTTATTTGCAATATCCCCTTCTATTTCTATAAACCTCTAAAATCTCTTATTTCTTTATTGTATCTTAGCTACTTATTAATATAATGTATCCGAGTTACATATTATGTACCCGATTTATATTATAATGTATCCAAAATACTCTTTAATATATTTGAGCTGCATATTAATGTACTCGATTTTTATTGCTTTTTAAGGGATTAATGTAATTACAAACAAAGAGGGATAGATTGTAATTTTATATTTAAAAACTATGTGATTCCTAAAATTTATCCTTATTAATTTTATATTGAATCCCGTCAACTTTAGTATAAGTATGCTGACATGAATGCTATCAAATGATGTCTTTAATGTACCTTACATACTATGACATATCTTGTGAGTTACCTCTTATGCATTTCAGTCCGAATAATCCAGATGAAACTATATACTCATATAAACTTCAATAACAAGAATTTGTATTTAATTGAAATAAATTTCTCCAAACATTCAAAATATAGAATCCAAATGACAAAACTATTACAAACCTAAGTAGGAAAAGGAAAAATAAATAAATAAATAAATAAGAATTACAAATTTTGATATCATGCCTTGTACTACATAAATTTGAGAACCCCATGGGTTATATATGTTGAGCTTGAGAAGGACTTAAATGAGATATGCATGTTGAACATGAAAGATGGAAATTTAATAATATGAAGGTGGTGGTGGTGATGGAGAAGGTGATGACTTCTTGTAGTATTCATTCTTTGACAAAGAAGGCGTCTTGTATTCTTCTTTAGGCACTGAGGGAACCTTTCGAAAATATGAAACCTTTTTGTAGTTATCTTCAGAAACTGATGGCTTCTTGTAGTAGTCATTTTTTGACAAAGAAGGCACCTTGTATTCTTCTTTGGACACTGAGGGCACCTTTGGAACAAGTGGTACCTTTTTGTAGTTTTCTTCTGGAACTGATGGCTTCTTGTAGTAATCATTCTTTGGCAAAGTAGGTGCCTTGTATTCTTCTTTAGGCACTGAAGGCACCTTTGGAACATATGACACCTTTTTATAGTTATCTTCTGAAATTGTTGGCTTCTTATAGTAGTCATTCTTTGGCTAAGATGGTACCTTGTATTCCGGTTTAGGCTCTGCGGATACCTCTGGAACATATGGCGCCTTCTTGTATTTATCTTCTGGAGCTAATGGCTTCTTAAAGTAGTCAAATTTTGGAAAAAATGACTCCTTATATTCTGGTTTAGCCATCGAGGGCACCTCTGAAACATATGACGTCTTCTTGTAGTTACCTTCTGAAACTGATGGCTTCTTAAAGTAGTCAAATTTAGGGAAAAATGACTCCTTATATTCTGGTTTAGCCATGGAGGGTACCTCTGGAACATATGACGTCTTCTTGTAGTTGTCTTCGGAAAATGATGGCTTCTTGAAGTAGTCAAATTTTGGAAAAAATGACTCCTTATATTCTGGTTTAGCCTTCGAGGGTACCTCGGGAACATATGACTCCTTCTTGTAGTTATCTTCCGAAAATAATGGCTTCTTGTAGTAGTCATTCTTTGGCAAAAATGATTCATGTCTGGGAACAGATGATACTTTCTTATAGTTATCCTCTAAAATTGATGGCTTCTTGTAGTAATCATTTTTTGGCAAAAATGAGGACTTATATTCCTTTTCCGACTCTGAGGGTAACTTGAAGTCTTCACTTTTGACTACTGTGGTTGGTACTTTATTGTATGTTGAATCTGATGATTCATAAGAATTGTAAGGTGAATATGCCATAGTGCATGTGGCAATCAAGAAAAATGTCAAAACACAAGCAAATTGAAGCCATTGCTTCTTCATTTGGCTTCCCATTGAGAAGAATTGGATTCTAAGGCTAGATATATCTTTGTTTTTCTTTTTCTTGTGTGTTTTAGAATGGAGGAATTAGGAGTTTATATAACATAATTAAGATGGTGATTTGATGATTTAAAAATTAAATAATCCAAACATATCAAAGATTTTGCCATTTTTTGGTTAATGCTGTTCCACTAAGGTTGGTTTTGAGATAATGAGAAGTCATAAACAATTCATACACATTTGCTTGACTCACCTATTTCTAAACTTTTAATCGAATATTTGTTGACTTGCAAGAATGTTGTTTGTTCATTTCTTTTGGTTCTGAAAATTTGATAAAATTAATTTTTAAAAAGTTGAGATATGTGTAGGCTTAACAAATGCTGTCCATTATTTTGTGTCGATTAATTATTTGTACTTGTTGAGCACAACTTATAATCCACATCATGGTATTGTACTTAATCTTTTTGTTAAAAAGAAATGGGCAAGCTATTCTTCGGGTGCCCACCGAATAAATTGCTCATGTGCATTTACTTGCAAATCATATGTAAGCTGCTTTGAGCAACTCCGTTGTGACAAATCAACTGAAAAAACATTGATAGAAGAAATCGATCTCTGACCTCTGTTACCCTTGCGAGTACCATACATACTTTTCATCACCTCACCTGACAATATTTTGGGTTTGATTAGTTAATGATACCAACGGGAATAATTAGAAGCTATTGTTTTTAATGTCATATTTTCATATTTTTGGTTATTAATTATAATAATTCAAATTTGTGTCCTGTATGATCTAGTCTTGAGAAAAAAGTGTTGTATGAGATATTACTTTATTCCCGAAGATCGAACCCTACCAAAAAAAAATTATTGAGTAGATCAAATTATTTTGAAAATTTTCTGAAAATGTTTTAGAAGTTCCGATATTAAGAAAATCCATACTTTGAGCTCAAAACTTCTGCAATATAGATCAAATACACCTAAACAGTCACTAAATGATTAATATTGAAGGGCTTATGAAAAAATCGTGATATTTTATCTTTGTGTAACAGTTTTCTTCGAATTTTTTTTTCCGATTAAAATGATTCACTGCTTGATTCGCTTTATTTTTTTTTATCTCTCGGGAATCATATGTTTATAACAATAGCAATCATTTTTTTTTCTTCTTTTAAATTCAAATAGATTAGACAAATTGTATCGATTATTTTGGGTAATATACAAATAGCGTAATTCTTAGTTACCTATTTTTGAAGTATGTTAGAGTTTTGTTATAAGTAGTAAGTGAACAAATTGTCAATTACTGAAAGAATAGCTGAAATTAAAACTACTTTAACTATCAATCTGAAATTAAAACTACTTTAACTATCAATAAAAAGAACTAGTATTCAATTATAATAAATACTCCTTTGGAAATATTGAAAATACGATATAATTTAATTTAATCATAAAATAATTACAACCTGAATTATGAAAATATATCCCTTTCATAAATCATGTACAATTATTTGTTGAATACAAGTGGTTGAAATAACATGTTATTATTCCATAAAGATTAATTATTTTCTTATTTCAATTCACGTGATACTCCTTTTTTTATTTTTTTTATAAGTCCATTCCATTAAAAAT